CCCGCCCCCCCCCCGGGCGGAGACACCGTCTGGGGACGCCTCCCTGGGCCTCTTGTGGAAGACCTGGCAGTGAGCCGACCGCGGGCAGGGGAGCCGGGGACGAGGAGCAGGATGGAGAGGAGCCTCCTCCTCCTCCTCCTGAGAAACCCCGGCCCCGTCGACGTCGTGAGCAACATCACTCGGCTGCACTCAAGGAGTGGCCCCGTGGGCAAGAGAGAGCCATTTGGTGCGCAGCTCTAGGGAGCAACGGTGACCGAACTTCCAGCGGGCGAGCCACAGCCGGGGTGCTCTGAGGTGGACCCCTCTGGGCCCGCACGAGAGGCGACCCCAGCAAAAGGTCATTCTCACGTTTGACCGATTCAACAGCGGAGCGCTTTCGATCACTCTCGACCTCCAGCGTATAGCCCGCCTCTGCCCGCCTGCCCTGTGAGCCCCTGTGCCTCGTCCGCCGGTCTGTCTGTAGTATTCACTTGTCTGTCTGCAAAAGGAGCAGTTGGCTGATTGAGGTAGAGTTCGCTGGAGCGCCAGGGCATTGATAGACGAAGAACAAGCGACAGAACCATAAACTTTTGGCGGTCCGGGCGGAATTTATTGGATCTGCGTTGGACCCCCTCTCCCTGGCGCGCGCGGATCCAAGGAATCCGCGCGGAGCGCCCTCGAAGCTCATGTGTATGGCGCTTCTCTTCTTCGACTTGAGCAGCACGGCGGCTCGTAGTAGCGGACACGCCGCGCAGCCTTGCACTATCCGATCGGCATTCTGCCACGGTCGGGCACTTTTGCTCAGCGTGCCACGGCGGCAGCCCTGGCGACACGCTGTGCCGTGCAAGCGGATATCTAAGACAGCGCGTCGCTCCGCTCCGCGGGGCGGGAGGCTGGGGGACAGCTCGGGGCGCTGACGCCTGGAGACCTGGACGTGCTGAGCGTGTTGCGCCGAAGCGTGGTGGGCCAGAGCCGGCGTCGCGAGAGCGTGTAACCACAACAAAAAAAAAGTCGTGTCTAGAAGTGTCAAAAAAACATAAACATCAAAATTCGACGGTCCGCGCGGATTTCTTGTATCTGCACTCGACCCCCCTGCCTGGCGCGCTCCGCGCGCAAGGGGAAGCGCTGCAGGTGCCGCCACGGGGCCCAGCGCAGATCCAAGAAATAAGGGCGGATGTCTGTTTTTGTTCCGAAGAGTGTCACTCACGCGAGGTGCCATGGCTTCCATCTGGCGCAGCACGCGCAGCACCGCACACGGCCTCTCTGACGTGCGCCGTGGCGAAGTTACCGGAAGAAGAGGCGAGCATGCTTAGGCCGAGCGCGGAGAGAGGGGAACCACTGTGTACACATTGGGCGTTGCTTAATGGGGGGGTCACAAATGGGGGGGTCAGAAACGGTCCCCTTTCGTGCCCCTTTCGGGCCCCTCTGGAGCCCCAGGGGGCTCGTTTAGGTACCGTTTGGGTACCTTTTCGAACCACCCTCGCCACCCCCCCATTTATGACCCCTCCATTACGCAACGCCCAAACACACCACCGTTCTGGAACGCCGGCAACAGTGCCGCTGCGGGTGCGTTGAAGCATGAATTGGCTTGGTCATGGCCTGGCCGTGCAGGCATTCCTGTGGGCCTACCACGGTGTGATTTCGAGCAGAGGAAAGCAATAGCAGGAACGATCACAATGCTCTGGTAGCACAAAGCCAGTGGCGTCGAACAAGACAGTCTCAGACAGAAATGGTTGAAGCACACTTCGTGCAAGCAACAGAGCAGATGGGAACATGATTTAAAGGGCCTTGAATCAAATCTGGACGCGTCGCTGAGCCCACTCAGCCTTCGTTGACAGGGAACCTCCTTGGCCCTACTCAGCCTTCGTTGAGCCCACGGATCGGCCTTCGAAGCCCTAGGTGCGCTCGAAGCCCTAGGTGCGCAATCAATCTATAGCACCCCGCAGTTGTGGATAAGAGTGAGGAGGCGGCGGGGACGTCGGCAGTCTGCGAGGCTCTGAAGACGCCCACCGCAGGCGCAAATATATTCAAGGTTACAACGAGCCCGCCGCAGGCGCCGTTTTTTGTTTAAAACAATTTAGGTAGGTCGCGGGTTAGGTCGCAAGTGGGTCGCGGGTGGGACGACGGTGGGTCGCGGGTGGGTCGCGGGCCAGGTCGCGGGTGGGTCGCGGCTGGGTCGCGGGTGTGTCGCGTGTGGGTCGCGAGCAGGTCGCGGGGTGGGTCGCGGGTGGGTCGTGGCTGTGGGTCGCGGGGTGGGTCGCGGGGTGGGTCGCGGGTGGGTCGCGGGGTAGGTCGCGGGGGGGACGACGACGAACAACAACAACAGCAGCAACAACAACAACGCAACAAGCATAATCCTCACCACGGATTCCAACTTTAGCACGCACCCAGGGACAATGAATGACCGTTCGGCCCCCTCACTCTGACTTGGCGTTGACCTCTTGCAAAATCGGGCCTTGATCACGCCGCCTTCGGCCATGCTTCCTCCGGCAACGCCGTCTGCGTATTACTCCGCTAGCCCCCGCAAACATTGCAGCGGCAGGACGGAGCCAGAAGATGAGACAATGCTCAAGTGTTCGTTCAAACCTTCCTAGTGCCACTCGCGCTCCAGTCATGCGTCGATGCTGCGTCGAACGCCCGTCGGTTTGAGTCGAACCTGGGTCGAAATTCGGATGAGCTGGAATCGATCTAGAATTGAACAAACCCATTCGGCAGGCCCCAGAGAGAGAAATAACAGCATAAAAAGCAGAAACCCAGAGTGCTGCTCGAACGCCTTCAGCAAGAAGGCGAAGGCAGGAGAGATAGCCTGAGAGTCTGGAGCAGAGGGCGCAGCGGTGACCTTGCACCGCGGACCGGCGGGCGGACCCCGCTCAGGACGGACACCGGAGGCGGAGCGCGAGACGGAACGGCAGGAGACTGCAGGGGCAGCAGGGCCGAGAGATACGAGGTGGTCCTGTCGGGCGAAAGGGGGGGATAGCAAAGGGGGGGGGGGGAGAATCGGCTCACGCAGCTGATTTTCCCGGCGCCTCCCGGCGCCGGAGGGCGGCCATGTATCGAGGCATGCGTGGGCCCCTCGGTGGGGCCGACACCAGCTGCCCGCAGCAGACTTCGTACCCCCCCCTTTCCCAGTCCCCCCCCTTGTCGTCCGGCCCGAAAAAGGGAAGCCGCGCCGGTGCCCCCCCCCCCCTCTCGCCCTCGCCGACCGAGTCCCAGGTGCGCCGCAGCCTCTCGGCAAAATACCTGCGGCGCCCGCGGCGCAGGGCGGAGAGCCGCCTCGCGCCCCCCCCCCCGCCCGAGTCTCCCCCGGTCTCTCCGGCAGCCGGCGGGCCCGCCGCCCGGAGGGGGGCCCGAACGCGCTCGAGCCGGATGCCCTGCCCTCGAGGCAGATGCCCGCCATCGCCGCTCGTCCATGACGTCGGCCCCTAGAGGTCTCGATCAACTCCCTGGGACTGGATATGTTTTCATCATCCCGGTTCGACGGCCCCGACAGCCGGCAAAAGCCCCCCGAGAGGCTGCAACTATTGAACAACCTGCCGCCGTGCTCTCTTCACGACTCGACTGGGTCGAGGCCGTGCACGACAGGGGGCAGGACCCGGCCGATCTCGGCACGGTCCAACTCCATCCATCCTCGCCCTCCTGCTCCCTCCCTACTGCGTGCAATGTGGCAGGTGGCTCTGCTGGGGACGGGGAGGTCGGGGGGCCGCCCTGGCCTGCCCAGCGCCGCTGGCACCAGGGCACCCCCCCCCCATGCCGCAAGCCGCCGAGATGCCTGTGCGTGTGCGGTCTGCGGGGGCGCTGCGCGGGACGCAGAAGGCCGTACTACTAGTAGTAGGTGTCCTCGTCGGAGGCGTGCGCCCGACCCGAGCATATAGCACAACCATGTTGTGGCGTGCCGTTCCCCGGGCGGTGTGGCCCAACAAGCGCCCGCTGCCGACAATGCAGTGCAAGATTTCTCGGTACGCGCGCCGCCCCCCTGGGGGCGACGCACGCTTAGCAGAAACGCCTGGGCCATAATACAATAGAAACATACGGCTAAACATTCTGCTGCAGTGCATGTTGGGCCATGTTCCTCGGGCCGTCGGTGGAGAATAAAAAATGCGTGGGGCACGTGATGGCAGGCCGATCTCTTCTCCCACGTGCCCACTGTGTGCCGGATGGGTGGGCCACAGGGCCAACGATGGGGGGGCGCCCCCGAAGCACCCCAGCCCCTGCCGGGCGTTGAGCGGCGCCCCCGGTACGTCTGCTTGTCGTTCTCGACCAGCGATATCACGTCCGCGTCCGCCTTTCGGCGGTGGACAAACCTCCCCGTAGTAAACCTCCCCTTAGTGAGGACGGCCTGGGACCGAAACCGACGGACCTGGACCCGCAGAAACGACGGCCGCGACGCCCTCTCGCGAACCGAAAACGGCCAATTCACTAATCGGCGTGTCAGGGTACAGTGCGGGCGCGGCCGCGAGAAACACTCGCAAGAAACTCAACCCTGAAAACCCGCGCGCGAGGTGCACTGGAGGGGAAACCTGGAGCACTCTGAACGCAGCCGCTCCTTCCCCGGCTGCGGGAAGCCACCGCGCGGCGCGCGGAGCGAAGAAACCCAGGGCACCCTGACGAAGAGCAGATGGTTTCTTGATGCGCGCCCCCACTCTGTAGGAGGTCTGTCCACCCCCGAGCCTTCAGGAGCTCCGCGACGATCTTCTCGCCCCGGCTCTCCCACTTGAAGTACTGGGAAGGGGGGGGCGCGGCCGCCCGGAGCGCCGCGGCCGGGCAAAGGCGACGGCGACGGCGACGGCGATGGCGACGACGACGACGACGACGACGACGAAGACGACGAGGGCGACGACGACGAGGGCGACGACGACGACGACGACGACGACGACGACGACGACGGCGAGGGCGACGGCTGCGACGGCGACGACGACGACGACGACGACGACGACGACGACGACGACGACGGCGAGGGCGACGGCTGCGACGGCGACGACGACGAAGACGACGGCGACGGCGAGGGCGACGACTGCGACGACGACTGCGACGACGACGGCGACGACGACGACGACGAGGGCGAGGGCGACGACGGCGACGACGACGACGACGGCGAGGGCGACGAGGGCGGCTCCTCTCCCACTTGAAGTGCTGGGGAGAGCGAGGGGCGGCGGGCCGCCCACGGCGGCCTGCGCAGTTCGACGGCAGACGGCGGGGCCCCTGCTGTGGCGGCGGAGGCAGCAGTCCTCCAGTGCCAGGGAGCGGTTGCACGCCGCATGCTCCTCCTGCTCTTCCTCCTCCTCCTCCTCCTCCTCCTCCTCCTCCTCCTTCTCCTCCTCCTCCTCCTCCTCGCCCTCCTCCTCCTCCCCTCTCCTCCTCCTCCTCCTCCTCCTCCCTCCTCTCTCCTCCCTCCTCCTCCTCCTCCTCCATCTCCTCCTCCTCCTCTTCTCCCCGCCTCCCCCTCCTCCCCCTCCTCCCCCCCTCCCCCCCTCCTCCCCCTCCTCCCCCTCCTCCCTCCTCCTCCTCCGCCTCCTCCTCCTCCTTCTCCTCCTCCTCCTCCCCTCGCACTCCTCCTCCTCCCCCTCCTCTCCTCCTCCTCCTCCTCCTCCTTCTCCTCCTCGCACTCCTCCTCCTCCCCCTCCTCCCCTCCTCCTCCTCCTCCCTCTCCTCCTCTTCCTCTCCCCCGCCTCCCCCTGCTCCCCCTCCTCCCCTCCTCCCCCTCCTCCCCCTCCCCTCCCCTCCTCCCCCTCCTCCTCCTCCTCCTCCTCCTCCCTCCTCCTTCTCCTCCTCCTCCTCTTCCTCTCCCCCGCCTCCCCCTCCTCCCCCTTCTCCCCTCCTCCCCCTCCTCCCCGAGCGCACCTAGCTTGTCCTCCCCCTCCTCCCTCCTCCTCTCCTCCTCCTCTCCTCCTCCTCCTCCTCCTCCTCCTCCTCCTCCTCCTTCTCCTTCTCCTCCTCCTCCTCCTCCTCGCCCTCCTCCTCCCCCCCTCCCCCTCCTCCTCCTCCTCCTCCTCCTCCTCCTCCTCCTCCTCCTCTCCTCCTCCTCCTCCTCCTCCTCCTCCTCCTCTTCCTCTCCCCGCCTCCCCCTCCTCCCCCTGCTCCCCTTCCTCCCCCTCCTTCCCCTCCTCCTCCCCCTCCTCCCCCTCCTCCTACCCTCCTCCCTCCTCCTCCTCCTCCTCCTCCTCCTCCTCGTCCTCCTCCTCCTCCTCTCCTCCTCCTCCTCCTCACCCTCCTCCTCCTCCTCCTCCCCCTCCTGCTCCTCCTCCCCCCCCTCCTCCTCCTCCTCCATTCCTTTTCCTTCTTGTTGAAAAATGTCTCCCCGTCGCACCCCGGGGTCAGTTTTTATTGCGGGCTGGGTGTCTCGCCTGAGACTTCCTGACCATCTGACCCTGGAGCTTCAAACGTGGCAACCGTGCCACACATTGAGGGCGGGTGGTTTTCAAAATATGGCTCTCGCCTTAGCGCCGCGCACATTCGTCTTCAGAGCTTGCCAAGGACTTCACGGATGAAGGGCGGGTGGTTTTCGAAATGTGACTCTCGCTTCAGCGCCGCGCACATTCGTCGTAAGGAATTGCAGACGATTCACGGATTGAGGGCGGCTCCGTTTCAAAATATGGCTTTCGGAGTAGTGCCGCGCGCATTCGTTTCCAACATTTGCCAGAGTTTCACTGAGTCCCATGGTCATCGTACCACAAATGGTGTTTGGGAAGGGTTCAGGGTTATGAGGGTGCAGGAATCCCACCAGCCCTTTCGGCGACAGGTGGTATATCTTTCCTCTTCCAAAACCCCTCTTTCTTTCAGGGAGGGGAACCCTCCCCCTCCCCTCCCTGAGGTTTTTTATGGGAGGGATCGCGAGGTGTCGGAGGCTCCTTTTTCGGCCATTGGGAGGGCGACTTGTTGCCACCACGCACGAGGATCGTGGCCCCCGAAGGGGGGGGCCCGAGTTCCTCCCTTCTTTTGACCGACCGCCTCCAAGATGGCCCCAAGAGGCCCTCCAGGGCCCCCCAGAGGCCCCCAAGAGGGTTCCCTTGCGCCCCAAGAGGCCCCAAGAGGGCTCCAAGAGGCCCCCGAGAGGCCTCCAAGAGGCCCCCGAATGGCTCCCAAGCGGCCTTAGAGAGCCCAAGATGACCTCCAAGATGGCTCAAGATAGTCCAAGCTGGCTCAAGATTGTCCCAAGATGCCCCAAGAGGCCCCAAGACAGCTCCAAGACGGCTCGAGATGGCCACGGAGCCTCCCCAGGATACCGCCGAGATGCCCTAATCCTTTCAAAACGTACCCGAAATGAATGAAGTTGGCCGTCTCGCCTTTTTGCTTGCGATGGCCTTCCTGGGCCTCAAGTTGGCTCCAAGATAGCCCAAGAGGGCCCCAAGAGGGCCCCAAGAGAGCCCAACAACGGCCCCAAGAGCGCCCAATAGCGCCCCAAGAGCGCTCCAAGAGGTGCCCAAGAGGAAACTTTAGGCATTCTCGAGATGCGACGCTACTTGAAGCTCCACCTTCTTTGATCGATCTCCTCCAAGATGCACCCAGAGCGCCCCCAAGGCTTCCAAGAGCGCCCCAAGAGGATCCAAAGACCGTTCCAAGACGGCTCCGAGTGACCACGGAGCCTCCCCAAGAGGCTGCCAAGAAACCAAAATCAATCCCACCAGCCCTTTGGGCGACATGTGGTCTAACGAGGGTCTTTTTCCACTTCCACAACCCCTCTTCCCTTCGGGGAGGGGAACCCTCCCCCTCCCCTCCCTGAGGTCTTTTGGGAGGAGGTCGCGATGTGTCCGAGGCTCCATGTTCGGACCCTGGAAGGGCCATTTGTTGCCACCATTCACGAGGATCGTGGCCCCCGAGGGGGGGACGCAAACCTAGCCCCCCTCCTCTTTTGACCGACCGCTTCCAAGATGGCCCCAAGAGGCCCTCCAGGGCTGCCAGGAGGCCCCCAACAGGCCCAAAGAGCGCCCCGACAGGCCCAAGAGGCTTCCAACAGGCACCCGAGAGGCCCCCAAGAGGCCCCTGAGCGGCCCCCGAGGGCTTCAGAGAGCCCAAGATGACCTTCAAGATGGCTCAAGACAGCCCAAGCTAGCTCTAGATGGCTCCCAAGATGCTCCCAAAGGCCCCAAGAACGGTCCAAGACTGCTCAGGATGGCCACGGAGCCTCCCCAGCAGGCGGCCAAGAGGCCAACATCCTTCAAAAACCTTAACATCCATGAGTTTGGCCTTCTCGCCTTTTTGCTTTCGATGGCCTTCCGAGGCCTCAAGATGCATCCTCATCCTCCTCCTTCCTTTGTCCTCGTCGGATGTCTGGGTCTATTCGCGGCGCGCACCGCGGGTTACGGGGAGGGGGGGGAGAGCTTGTTAGAAGGAGGCTGCCTCTTAGAAGGCGCCGGCCTTGCATCTACAGAGAAGGCCCGCGCCTCCTAAGAGACAGGGGTGTTTCTGAGAAGCCCTCCCCCCGCCCCCCCACCCCCCCTTCTGCGCGTGGCTGAACCCCTGAAGAGGCCGGTCCGTGCAATACAGTGGAGGCCAGTCCACAAGGAACCTTCCACAAGAAGCCCAACCCTGAGACCCCAGGACGTCCACTGGTCTTTGCTCTGGAGACGTCACGCTTTCCATCGCAAGACCATCGGAACGCCAGAAGCCCAGGGCACCCTGGAGGGAAGCAAAGAGTTTCTTGGCATGGGTCTCCACTGTGCCCCTCTTTCGATGCCCCTCACCCGGCTGCATGCAAACGACTGACCCTGGGCAAGGGTGACCTTTAATGCGCCGGTTTTGGGGGGGCGCGATGGGGGCAAAACCCGAGCGGGCAGGCCGCCTCGATCGCATCGTTTTCAGCGATCGGGGAGCCCCAGTGGGCCCGCACCGCAGGTCGCTCTGGCGAAGGGTCGCTCTTACGTGCAGTCGACTCACATCTGGTTCGTGGCTCTGGGGGAAGTCACTGGGGCGCTAGAGAAAAGGGCCTCGCCTTGCCCTCGACCCGCATCATCCGCGCCTCCCGTGCGGGAGGTGCTGCCGCGATGCGGCCTCGCTTCGCCCCTCCTCCTCCTCCTCCTCCTCCTCCTCCTCCTCCTCCTCCTCCTCCTCCTCCCCTTCCTCCTCTTCCTCCTCCTCCGCCTCCGCCTCCTCCTCCTCCTCCTCCTCCGCCTCCGCCTCCTCCTCCTCCGCAGCCGTCGCGGCGGCCTGGGCAGCGCTGCACCTGCCGCGCGGAAGGTGCGCAAGGTGCGGGTCGAGGGTCGGGACACCGGGGCGATGGCCTCTCCTCTTCGGCGGAACGTGGCGGGAGTAGGACGGGAGCTGCCCCGATGGCGGAATCCGGCGTTCGCCCCTCGAGCGCTGTCAGCTTCTCTGGATTTCGGGGTCTGCAGAGCGGGCCGACAGCAACCTGGCCGGAAGCGACCGAGAAAGCTCGACGCTGCTGAAGCCGAAGCGACACCTGCGGGAACCCTGGGGTCCGTGGGAGGCCTCTGCAAGTTCTTGGGAAAGCTGCCCGAGTAGCCCAGACCCTGCCTCTGGGGCGCTCCCAGGAAGACCATGCAGGCAGTGTGGCTGTTCAATCGCATCAGGCTTGCGTTCCCTCGCGGGCCTCGGCAATCCTCCATGCTGCAAGATCTTGGAAGCTCTGCTGGTACCCTCACGGACGACCCATGATCCTCTTGGAGGTATCGTTGGAGGCCGCTGGAGGCCACCGGCCTGGAAGCCTCCCAAAAGGCTTCGGCACCATCATTCTTCTACAAGAGACCTTAGATCTTGGGCGTGCAAGTGCCAGCCCAGTGGGCCTGGAAACGTTCCTCTGCTGCGCGGCGCTGCCACCTCTGCTTGAAGAGGCCCTTCCCCAAGCGGCTTAAACACGTTTGCTTGTTATCCCTGGTGCTAGAAGCTAGAAGCTGATTTGAATCAACCCTCTGGCAGTAGAAGCGTCCAGACACGTTCCGCTACTGCGCGGCGCCCTGTGCTAAACGAGCCCCTGTCTGCTAGACGAATCCCTCCCCAAGCTGAGTGGTTGCGTTGACCCCTGGTGCTAGAATCGACCCTTGGCTGCGCAACGCCCTCTGCTAGACGAACCCCCCTGAAGGCTTTTCCCCCAAGAGGATTAACCCAACTCCCTCGTGCAAGACGCGCGCCTCTGCTGTCGGGCGCGATCTGCTAGACGAGCGTCCCCTTATGGGCAAAGCCCCCTTCCCAAGCTTCTAACAGCAGAGCGGCACGTCTAGCATCAAGGATGTGTTCAACATCCTGGTGGGGATGTGGCCTTGTCTAGCAGGGTGCGGTACGAAGCTGACGGGAGACGCTGCAGAAGCGAAGTCACGCATCGCACCAGGGCCTCGTCTAGCAGAGTCTGATGCACAACAGCTGCGAGCAGCAAGTGCCAAGCATAAGCGGATACACTCGCGTACCGGGCGCTCGTTTGGTACACCATTTCAACCTCCCCCCCCCATTGCTGGCCTCTGGCCGCCCGACCATCTGGCCACCTGTCCGCTTGCCACCCTGACCGCCTGACCGCATGGCTGACCTGAACATTCGACCACTCGGCCACTTGACCACCCGACAACCCAACCGCCTCACCACCTGACCCCCCGACCCCCCGATCCCCCGACCACTCAAGCACCTGACCACCTGACCACCCAACCACCCGACCACCCGACCAACCCAATAACTGATCACTTGACCACGTGGCCACACGACCACCTGACTGCCAGCCCACGCGGTGACCCTGGGACCTTGTCATTGTGATGGCGCCCCGAAAAGCCCCGTAGAAGTCCACACGCAGCCTCCCAAAACCCCCAATACACCCGCACGAAGCCCCGAGGACGCTCCTGAAACCCCAGAGGAGCACCCAAAATCCCCAACCACGGAAAAGGCATCCCTCATGCTAGCTTGTGACTGGCGCGTGGTTAAACACATTGTTCCCCTGCTCGGGCGCATCGCGGGGGAAACGCCCGCCACGTGGAAACACACGGCGGCGGCGCCCGTGATCACCACCGGCACCCAGCCGACAGCAGGAGGGCGACAGGCGCGACGCAAGCGGCGTCGCTTCAGCGGAAAAGGACAGCAGCGCCTCCGCTGTAGCGGGGCGGCTGGGCCAACATTGCTACAGACAAAAGAAACAGGAGGCGGGGGGAAAAGGCGCTTCAACTGGCGAGCGGTGCCGGTTTGGCAACGAACAGGGAAGGGGAGAGGTGGGGAGAAGCGGTAGAGGCAGGCATAACCGGTTCTTTCTGCTCCCTCCCCCCACCCCCCCCTCCACTACAAGTTGTCCTACGACCACCACGACGACGATGCACTGCGGCGGATGCCCGCTAAAAAGGGGTGTGCTGGGTAGGCCCGCGGTCGTCTAACACAACGGCGACGACGGTGGCGACGGAACGACGGCAACGACAATGATGATGAGGCCCAACCACGACGACGACGACGGTGACGACGGCAACAAAGACGATGACGACGACGACGACCGACGAAGACGACGACGATGACAACGGCGGAAACGACGATGACGACGTCGACAACGGCGACGGCGACGACGACGGAGATGACAACAGCGACGACGACTACGACGCCGACGCCGACATCGACGCCGACGTTCAAGTAGACGGCGACGACGACGACGGCAACGAAGACGAAAGCGACGACGACTGACGACGAAAACGACGACGACGACGCTGACGTTGCGACGACGACCATGACGACGAACATGATGATAACAGCGACGACGACAACGACGACGAAAATGACGACTACAGCGGCGACGAAGATGACAACGACGGCGACATCGACGCCGATGTCAAGGACGACGAGGACGACGACGCCGACGACGACGACGCCGGAGACGCCGACGACGGATACGACAACGACGACCGACGACGACGATTACGACGACGGCGGCGACGATGACGACTGTGGCACTTCAGTAATCGCCCTGAGACGGGGGAGAACTGCGCCTCGGATGTATACGATCCCTGTAACGTCTCCTATACGACAAGCAACCGTTTTGAGGTTGCCGTGCAGGGGGGTACGCGATCCCCTCGGCGGCGCCCGCGACGACCCATAGCACGCATGGTTAAAAAACATGTTTCGCGACCTGCGGGGCCCATTCATCAGCCAAAAGCTGACATCTAACAAGCTAACATCTAACAAACCGAGAGGCATCTAACACGCATCTGAGCCACGACCCAAGCACGGTGATGGGATGCACTGACGGAACGTCGGTGGCGGCGTGCTTCGTTGAGCGTCGTCTTGCGACTACCCCGCCGCTGCTTCTCCCCCGCGCGAGGCTCACGCGACAGCTCAGAGAAACGGCCGCTACCCGACACATTCTCAGCCAGCGCGGACACACAAGCAAGTGCCAGCGATGACACAGTATAGGCCAGCTGGACGAGCGATCGCAGGAAAGACGAACGGATATGCCACCCAAAGCGAATGACCTGTAAATCCGGCAGTGCCAAACCAACACCCTTAAAGCTCATGTGGTGCTGCCTGGCACCGCTGTGCTCCGCAACCCATGGTCCGTGGCCCAGTCAACCGTGAAGAGCGCGTCGGGCGGGCGGAACCCTCAGAGGCGGCACGGGCGGGCGAGACCCTACTGGCGGGGACGGGCGGCCAGGGCTTCAAAGGAAACCACCCGGCGCTGAGCGATGGTAATCGGCAGCCGCGCGCAAGCACAACATCGGAGCCGCAACTTCCGCGCGCTGCCGTCGCCGCCTGCGCACCCGCCGATGTTTGCCCGCCAGTCGCCTTCCGCCCCCGTGCCAGGCAGGGACCGCGGACAACCCGCCCGCCCCAAAATCCCCGAGTAAACTGCGGTGTGGATGCCGAGGGCCGTGGCGGCGAGCATCGATGATCCTCAGAACGTGCGCCAGCGCTAACGTGCGCTTGTCCACCGAGGCCCCTCAGTACAACGCAGGCGGCACGACGAGGGCCGACGCAGGCTGCACGCGATCCGATGAGCCGAACCGCAGTAACACACACACGCACGCTTGGGCTAGCACGCGCTCTGAGGATCACCGCGAGGACGAGGAGGAGGCAGCGGAGAGAAGGCACGGGGCAGCGGAGCGTGAAGGGCGAGGCGGGGGCCCTGCCGTTCCCCGGGGGGCGGTCCGCAGGCCCCGGGCGCACCATGCGGGCCGGCGCCTGGACGCCTCGAGGCGCTGCCGAGTTCGGTGGCCTCCCCGGCCGCGCCCTGCGAGGAGAGGAACGGCGGCGAGTGCACGCTCTCATCCGCGGCGGCGGATGCACGCCTCCCCCCAGTGGCGATGGCGCCGCTGGGGAGAACGAGATGACTCGTCTAGCAAAGAGGGCGCTCCGCGCCGACGTCTGGGATCTGCGCCGGAAGCCCCCCCTCCCTGGCGCGGGGCGCGCCAGGGGCGGCGCCAGAGGCGCTGCGGAGGGGGGGGGGCTCAGATGCAAGAGATCCGCGCGGAGCGCCAAAAGCTTATGTTTAGATCGTTGCGCATTCTTACTATGATTATTATTAGTATGATGATGATGAGTATTATTAATATTACTATCATTATAAATAGTATTAGTATTATTATCATTATTATTATTATTACTATTATGATGATGATTATCCTTATGATTCCTATTCTGTTTCTGCTTCTCCCTCTTCCACGAGCATTGCTCCACCAGGCCATGAGATGGTGCGCACAGTCGGGCTGCTGAGACAAGGAGAACGCTCGAACACAAAGCAGCGAGGCCACTATGTGGCGCCACCCGCGCTCGGGTGCACGAGGGGCGCTGGAGGAACAGCCACGGCATGGCCCAGGGAACAGTTCCTCCTCCTCCTTCCTCCTCCTCCTTCCTCCTCCTTCTCCTCCTTCTCCTCCTCCTCCTCCCCCTCCTCCTCCTCCTCCTCCTCTTCCTCCTCCTCCTCATCATCATCATCAACATCAGCAGCGGGCCCCCTGCCGAACCCAACGCAGTGCTTACTCCAGCGTCTTGGCTGTGCTGTGGCCTACAGTCAGGTCGGGCGTGTGCTCGTACAGGCAGGTTTTGAGCAACAAGCCACAGCACATAATCCACAAAGGCGTAAAAGTAGTCAACAATGGTCAAACAAATCGTTCCCAGCCTATCTTCTGCCTGTTTTTGGATCTCCCCCCTGAGGCCTACAGTGGTGGCCCAAGATGCCACCCCAGGCCTCCGACGGCGGCACGCCGCGGGGATCGCTGGCCGACGCGGGGTGGCGGGACCGGAGAGAGGCGGGTGCGGCTCCGGCGGCCTTTGATGCGAGGCGGGCGCCCGAGCGCGGGCCGCTCCCCAGGAGGTACCCCCCGTCGCGGCACCCATCCGACGAGTCTGCCTCATCCCTGTCGTGCCCGGGGCTGGGAGTGTCGCTGTGGATCACGATGCGTATCCCGTCACAAGACGCACGACGGCGGTGACGACGACGACGAAGACGAAGACAACCCGCATAACGCAGCTGACGTGACGCGCGGGCGCCGGGGATGGGGCCCGCCTCGTTGCGCCTCTCGATCTGGCGGGCCGGGGGGGGGGATCCACGGCGGAGGCGGAGATAAGCGCGAGGAGCGCCGGGGGGGAGAGTGCGAGGGACGTTTTCGGCGGGCGTTTTCGTCGGTTGTCGAGGCTCGAGGTTCCAAGGCGTATTCATTGGCTCCCTGTGGTTTTCTAGCCTCGGGACGCTCTCCAGCGGCTGCGCCTCGGCAACAGACGTCCTGGGGTAATCACAGGGATCCCCGAACGGCCGCCAGAGACCCGAGCTGTGACCCGAGAGCCAGAAGACGATGATCGTTGAGGGGGCAGGCGATCTCAAAGGCGGCATGGCTTCTCTGAAGCCCCTCGGCCTCTCCTGGGGCGCGTCCTGACCAAAGTCTCAAGAATAATTCAGCCGTGGGGGCGAGGGCTCTCCAGGACGAGCAGCTGTATCAGTACCGCTTGCTCCTCTGACACATCAGCATGTCCGAGCGATGCCGACCCTCCCCAGAGCACCCGCGCCCGCCCCCGAGCCCGAGCGTTCCGACGCCAGGGGCGCTGAGGCAAGCACGCGACTTTCGCACGGCGGCGCGGTAGTGCTCGCGAGAGCGGGGCAGTGGCACACAACACCTCCTCCTGCGCCTCGTCTGCCATGCTGTGCCCCCGACAGTCGAGGATCGAGGAGGGTCGGGGGGTTGAGCGTTTGCATTCTGAATCGACGGGGGGTACTTCGAGCCCTGTTCGAACTCGGATCATGCCGCGGAACTTGCTTTCCTTGAGGAACTCGGTGGGCTTCCCTGGTGGTCGGCTGATGCTGCCTGGTGAGCGCGCGCCCGTGGGCGCCTCGGGGGCGCCCCGGCGCGGGGGGGTCGCGCCAAGGCTTCGCCCAGGTGCCCGCCCGTGGGCGGGCCGTGAGCGCTCCCGCGTTGGTGGCTTTCCCCGGGCTCCGACCGGTCCCCGCTCAGACCGGATATGAAGGGGCCCCAGGACACACAAACAAACAGATTCCCCTATATTATATGATATTTTCGGGGTTTTCGTCTTCCCCCCCACTTCCTATACTTTCCCATATTTTCCTGGGAGTCGACGATTAATTGTGTCTGTGTGTTTTTTCCCCTCCTGAAGATAGCTCCCCCAACCCATCTTGCACCAGATCTCACATACTATAGCTCATGTCAGACAGCGTGCCCCACGGTACTAACACAACAGCTGCTACATCACATCGCGTGGACACCAGACCTTGCACCACGAAGCTCCTACCGTAAGGCTTGTACGACAGTGCGTGCACAATACTGACACAACACGGATCCCACATCCACGGTGACATCACTCACTGCTTGGGACCCACGATGGCTGGCCCATCTAAACCTATGGATTTTCAGGAAGTGAATACATGGGACGATGGGTGCGTGTTTGCGCGCATCTGTCAAAATACCTTCTCTTGTATACATACGTGTATGCGTGCGACTCTTCAAACCTGTAGACATCAGCGGGATATGCTGTATGTTTACGCATATATACTCCCATGGCCGTATCTACTCCCATGGCCGTGCTTGCACTTAGGGGTTCCGCATTGGCTTGCTGAACGCACTGGATGGGTAGACTGGAGTTTCGCCGAGTGCCCGCCCGTGAGCGCCTCGACGGCGCCCCGCGCTGGGGACACGCCGACACTCCGCCCGGTGCCCGCCCGCTGCCTCGCCTCGTGGACGCCCAGCGCCGAGGGGAGGCACGCAGCGGTCTCGCCACTTGCCCGCCCGTGGGCGCCTCGGAGGCGCTTGCCTTGTGTGTCAACGCCAATTCGCGATCGAGGAAAACTCCAGGGTCATGGTAGCTCGTCTACGGGTGAGTGAATAGCCTTGGCAGAACTCATTTGCGGAGGGCGGGGATCTGCCGAGGCTTCGCCCGGGGCCCGCCCGTGGGCGCCTCGTGGGTGCTCCTGGGGGCTCCGCGCCGGAAGGGCCCGCCTTGACGCTCCGGCAGGCGCCCGCCCGCGGACGCGCCCCGCACCGGCCGCGGTGCCGCCTGGTGCTCACCTGTCTGTGGTCGCCTCGACGGCGCTCCGCGCGGGGGGGGGGGCTGTGCCAGGGGCTCGCCCGGTGCCCGCTCGCGGGCGCGCCCCGCGCTGGAGGGGCATATATGCCGAGGCTAGGCCCGGTGCTCGCCCAGGGGCCGCCTTGTGGGCGCCCCGCGCTGCGGGGGGGGGGGGGGCGCCGGGGATTCGTCGCCTGGTGCCGGCCCGTGGGCGCCTCGTGGGCGCCCCATAATAAACAATAGCTTGCACCACTGGGTTGCACTTCGAAGATGGCGTTTGGTAGGCTGCACTCCGTCGATTGCGCCTAGCTTACACGGCACACTTTGCACCACATAGCCAGCACCCTCTAGGCTGCACCACATCGCTTACAACGCATATCTTTCACCGGGTAGCTTGCACCACATGGCTCGAACCGGGCGGATTGCACCGTATAGCTTGCGCCACGTAGATGGCACCGCGAAGGTTCCCCCAACAACATGAGCAAGACTCTACCCCCCTCGCCCTTCCCCCCGGGAGTACCAACCCCCCCGGATAGGAATCAATGTACATACGATTCTGACCATCGATCGTTTTCCATCACGAGCCAGGCCATCAGAACCAGATCAATATCGCCCCCACTGCTTAATCCATGTTTGCGTTTCCTCGACATGTGTGCGCACCCCTTGCCTTATCCAACTCTACCTCCCCACTCCTCACCGTCCCCCGCGCCATCTCCCCAAAAGCGCCTCCGCTATCTCCGCCGGGGTCAGGATGCCCTCCCCGTAAGCAGGCCATCCGTTGATGGGTTTGCCCATGTCGTCCCTGGCATTGTACTTGGTGAACACGCGTTCCCGGGTCTCTTTGTCCACCTGTTTCCGGACTGGAGGCTTCAAATATTGAGGGCTCTTGGGTGATGCCTTTACTGCTTGCCAGCAATCTCAAACAACAGTGAAGCAGAATAGGTGACAACGTGCAAGCACGAGGCTGGTCGGCTATCTACATCGGCGCGAACGATATGGCCCAGCTGTCAACACGGAGAGTTGGATGGAGTCAAATGAATACTTCGACCAGACATCTGAGGTGTCGCATGTATTTTCTCTTCGCAAGTATCTTCTATTTCCCCTTCAGGAAAACATTCAGGGCCCCTCGGTCGCGACCTGAAGGAGCACTCGACATAGCATAATGGGGTTCCAAATGTATCCCGCGCTCGCACCCCCTAAGGGCCGAAGGTGGGCTCCAGCACGGAGGTGCCCCCCCCGATCTCCCTGAGCATGCACCCGAGAAACTAAAATCACGAAACGACTGGCGGTAGTTCAATAGTATCGAAAGACGGGAGTGGCTGTTTAACAAAGAAAACACAACAATCCACACACAAGTCGGGTGTGCACAATCGTTGAAGCTAAGCTACGTTCGCCTCAGCTGAACTAGCCTGAATTGAAACCCGCACTCAGAGATGAGCAAACAACGGTCAACATGCTGCGTAACCCGCATGGGCAATGATGTCATAACAACTAAAGTCCAAGACACTCGCATGCGAAACAAAGCATGAGGCAAGGAATGCTCATGGGACATGTCCAACTCGAACCTGCCAATCCATTTCGATGCCCGACTCGTCGCCAGCCGAGCAAATTAGGATGACAGTCGAAAACGTGTACGGGCCCCTCGTACTCAGAACGACGTGTAGAACATCATGGCGTTCGACTATACCACAGGCGCTGACAAGTCCGAGGTGCGACAACGACGTGAGCGATGCAGCTCCAGAGAACCTCAGGAAACCTGGACTCATCCACTGCATGATGTAGGCCGTCCATCGGATAAGGGGGAGGGTAATACCGAAGTGATAGAAAGGCCCCCCGTACAAAGACATCGGCTTCGGCTGCCCGACACCATGGGCCCGCAAAGCATCTGCGTCAGACTGTCTGCCGGTCCGCCCATGGACCCTACGCGGGGGAGGCACCGGTTGTCACGCAGATGAGTCCCGTGTCTGTGCCGCGGTCGCCCCGTTCACGTTGTGTGGGCAATCTCGGGGCACATAATAAAAGATAGAATTCGAGCCAGAGGAAGGGGGCAATCCGTAGGCGCAGACGTTAAACACACAGGGTTCGGGCCACAGGGGGGGGAATCTGTATGCACACCATAAAACAACATAGGTTTCGAGTCATAGGGGGGGGCAATCAACAGACACATACGAAAAAAACACACAGGATTCGACCCCCAGGAAAAAAACAATATGTAGGCACGTGGGCAAAACACACCAGATTCGAGCCACAGGAGAATGGCAATGTACAGGCACATGCGTAAACACACACACAGAATTCGAGCCACAGGAAAGGGGGGGTGAGGCCTTGGAAGGCAGGGGGCGACCGGAGGCCAATAAGTCAACGAGTCAGACTGGATAGAAAATAAACTTCCGACGTTCCGTCCTGATCTGCGAGGGCTGAAATCGAGCCAGAATACCATAGTGAAGAATCGATTCTGGAGATGCTGAATTTTTGGACACGCACTGCGAGGGCTGACGAATCTTATTTCTGGATCTGGGAGGGCTGACATCGAGATGGAACACTATAGTGAGTCGCATGTCTAGACCGAATCGAGCCACAACACCGCAGTGAGCGCTGCCGGCACGCGCCGCCGGACCATTGAGACGCTTCCCTCCCCTCTCAGCCCCCCCTGTGGAGATTCTGGTGATCGGAAATATTTGAACACATGCTGCCACGGGTGAAATCGAGCCAGGAACCCATAACGAGTCGCACTTCCGGACCAAACCGAGCCAACACACCATAGTGAGCGCTGCCGGCGGATTCTGGGCCGCTTCCGGGCAGCCAGAAGACCATAGTGAGTTGCACTTTTGGGCCACATCGGGCCAGAACACCATAGTGAGCGCTGTCGGCGGATTCTGGGCCGCTTCCGGGCAGCCAGAACACCATACAGTCGGGGCGTCGACCTAAGGAACCCTAAATAAGGAACGAGGCCCTTTTTTCCATAAGTTAAACTTCGATGTACCATTGCAAACCTAAAGAAAACTCAAGTCAAACTGTAAAACAATCAAGGAACACCGAGCCCCTCCCCAACGAAAAGGGTTCCTTCTTCAGGGCCCCGACTGTAGTGAGTTGCACTGGTGGGCCACATCGAGCCAGAACACCATCGTGAGCGCTGTCGGCTGCCTCTGGGCCGCGCCGCCAGTCCAGTGAGACTTCTGATCCCGCCCACTCTGAAGAGGTTCTGGCGAAGCGCAATGAAGGAAGCACAGTTGAGCTTGAAAGCAACAGCAGGAGGTTTCGGTCGAGGGTAGCCCCCTCAAGCTGGCACGCTGCCAGGGGCTTCTGGGCAAGCCGCGGCTCGTCACAACCTCCTCCTCCTCCTCCTTCCCCTCCTCCTCCACCTCCTCCTCCTCCGCCTCCTCCTCCCTCGCCATCGGCCCGCCCGAGGTGAGGTCTGCAGTCGAGCGGGCAGCGCAAGCCACGGCGTCCAACCGCCTCGGTGGGACTGCACCTCAAACCGCCTGCAGACCATCCGACGTGGAAGAGGACCGGGAGGACACTGGGCCGATACCCTGCTTTTGCCGACCCCGGGCCGCCCCCGCCCGCCTCGGCGCCGTAGAGGAACCATGGCTTGGTGTTCTCTCCTGTGCGGCAGCACAAACAAAAATCAAGACAGGAGGAGGAGCAGGAGGGACAGGAGGACAAAAATCAAGACAGGAGGAGGAGGAGACAAAAATCAAGACAGGAGGACAAAAATCAAAACAAAAATCAAGACAGGAGGAGGAGGAGGGACCCAGCCTCGCGCGGGACGGGCGGTCACCGGCAGGGCACGAGAAGAGACTGGTCCACGAGATCAGAGAAGTCGGCGGCCTCTCGAGGGGGCTATCCGGACACACACACACACACGGCTCAGGGCACAGGCACCCACCTGGTGGCAGTACACGACGTGCCCACCAGCGGAGCAAGCATACCGAACCGGCGAGCTTACTGGTGTAATCGCCTGAGGAAGAGGAGGATGAGGAGGAGGAGGAGGAGGAAGAGGAGGAGGAAGAGGTGCAGGAGAAGGACGCAATGTGAAGAGCGTGTGACAGAAGGCCCTGCGTCCCGCACATATGCGGAGCACCGCACTTGTTGAGCGCCGCCCAGATAGGGCTCGGCCAGATGGCGCCGGCAAATCGCACCGTATCGCGCATCACTGGAGCACTGGCTACGACCAGGATTTGGGAGTTCGGGCTACGCGTCGCCAGTGAATAGACGATACGGAGCCATCCGCTGTGGACCCTTGCCTCCGATTGTATGTTGCCGGATGCCCATCGACAGCTCGAAGGCGAGGGCTGCTTCCAGAGGCCACCGCGCTCGCGCATGAGACGCGCCTTGTCTCGATGGCCCAGGGCCAGGATCTCGCAGACTGGCGACGATTCTCCCCTTACACCGGACTCGCACCCGCAGATGCGAGGCAGGTGGTACTGAACTTACATGATCAGTTGTGTCAACCTATCCTACTTCGGCGGTGGACAAACCTCCCTTTAGTAAACCTCCCCTTAGTGACATCGGCCTGGGACCGAAACGGACGGACCTGGATCCGCAAAAATGACGGCCGCGACGCCCTCTCGCGAACCGAAAACGTCCAATTCCTTAACTGATGTGTCAGGGTAGGAGGTCTGTCCACCCCCGACTACTCGGGCTTCCGAACTCTCTGAGGGACCGAAGGTACCCCACGCACGGCCCACTAGGGACCAACGACAGCTTCGCCATCGCTCGGACGTCCGTTCCCTGTGTTTTTTTCGGTTTCGTGCGTGGGTTTTTCGGCAAATGATCAAGGATGCTCCTCGATGGTCCTCGCCGAAGGAAAAATGCACACGTCCGAGCGATGCCAAGTCTTTGGGACCGAGGATACCCCACGCACGGCCCACGAGGGACCAACGACAGCCTCAAGAACCGATGCCCTTCCGAAGTGGTTCTCCAGGACTGCCTCTGGAGTGGTGCCAGGCGTCCGAATGGAGCACCCTAAGAGGCAGCTCCGTTGTGGCCCAAGAAGAGCGACGCTATAGAGATCACCAAGGAGGTCAAGAAAGGCACGTCGGGACACCCAAGAGAGGCCCGAGGCAATCTCAGAGGGCTCCTCCCCATTGTTTCCCAAGTTGCTCAGCTAAGCTAGGGGGAAAACAAACCTACCTCGCTTTTGACCACCCTCGCTTCCAAGAGATGCCAAGCGATGCCAAATTGCAGCCTGTACTGGTCGGGCCGCCTGACGGGGAGGCGCGTGGTGTGGCCTGGTTTGGCCTGGAAGCGAAAGCGGGGTATGTAATTCACGCTCTGAGAAACCTAAGGGAGGCCCGAGACAATCTCAGAGGGCTCCTCCCCAGGGTTTCCAGAGTTGCTCAGCGAAGCGGTAGGGGGACTCGCAGTCGACCGATCAACGTCTCACCGCACACTGCCAAACAAGTCCACCACTTCGATCAGCGTCCCACCACATAGGCGTTGCCAGAAGGCAGGGGGCGGCAGTGGTTCGCCGTAGGCGTTTTCGATCATGCCGAGGGTCCCCATGCACTGTGAGACTTTGGCGGCGTACTGCGATGCACCCCTCTCTAACCCCGCGCCCTCCAGTCTGGCCCCTGCTTCGCCCCGCTCGATGTACTGAGCGCCGCCGTTCGTGTGACTCGAGGCCCGTTGCTATTCCCCTTCAGGGGCAGAGGAATCCCTGATCGGGTCAAACAAACCGTGTCAAACACACGACGACGGAGGCAAGGCTTCGTTGAGCATCACCTTGCCATCCCATCATATTTTCTGGCGGACGTGACGTCGGCCTACCTCCGGGCAGTCAGGTGAGCGCCGCTGAAATGCCGGCGCCTGCCCCTGAAGCGGGAACTAAACACTTACAACCAGCCGCGCTGCGTCCGCAGCCTGTTTGCAGGGGACAGTCGCTGCGCGCGTCGGCTCCGAGAGACCCAGGGAACCTGCGAGTCCTACCGGAACGGGGCGGGGAACCGAAGGGCGTGGGGAACACGAGGAGTGCCAGATGGACTTGGGCTATGAGGGGGGAGGGACGAGGCCTTGATCCCGACTACAAGCGAAGCGCAACATCTGCCGATGCTCCAGCATTTGATCCAGCACGGCTGAGGCGACTACGCTTGCCACTGAGCTGGAGAAACCTAACAGTTTAAATCACGCGATGTCCACAAAAGCTAGCGCAAGGAACAAATCGCTGCGCACGCCTACTCTGCGAGACTCTGGGAACCAGCGAGTCACAACTGAGAGCGGCGAGGAACCCCAAGCGTCAAGGCCAAGACAAGTGATCCGTCACTATGCTCCCTTGCAAGTGGAGGCGTGGTAGAATGCGAGCGCTTTCTTATTCGGCGCTTCGACATTGGACGGAAAGGGGGGGGGGAGGGGGGGAAGGCCGTGCTCCAGATCTCTGCTTGGTGCGACTGTGTTGCAGCAGTGCGTACCCCTGGAGGAGAGACCCCACCTGCTCGAAAAGGCGCGAAACACAGGCAAGATCCACTCCATCGGGGGGGCGAGGGCCCGCGCCGACCGGCAAAACAACAGATAAGAAAACGATCGCAACGCCAAGGCCTGCCTGGCAGGGTCTCTGCAATACCCTCAGGGCGCCCCTCCCTTCGCTCACAGGGCGGCCAGCCGCGTGCGGCCGCCCACCCCGTCTCGTCGCGAACGGACTCGTGTGGCCCGCGCGCCCGAGGCCACGACCCGTCGCGAGGGGAAGAGCGACGAGGCCGCGCTGCCGAGGCCACGACGATCTCGAACAGCAGACACGATCCTTTTTTTACAAAGGATTGCAAACAAAACAAACTGTTTTTGCAATCCTGTTTTTTGTTTGCAATCCTTCGACACGACCACGCCGTACGACAAAAAGCAGGACGGGCCGCGTGCTGGCCGCTTTTTTGGCCTCAGGGGGGGCCCTCGCCCGGCCGCGGGACCGTCGGAGAACGACTCGGGAGGAAGCAGCAGCCCCTCCTCCTCCTCCTCCTCCTCCTCCTCCTCCTCCTCCTCCTCCTCCTCCTCCTCCTCCTCCTCCTCCCTCCTCCTCCTCCCTCCTCCCTCCTCCCTCCTCCTCCCTCCTCCCTCCTCCCTCCTCCCTCCTCCCTCCCCCTCCTCCCCCCTCCTCCTCCTCCTCCTCCTCCTCCTCCTCCTCCTCCCCTCCTCCTCCTCCTCCTCCTCCCTCCTCCTCCTCCTCTCCTCCTCCTCCTCCTCCTCCTCCTCCTCCTCCTCCTCCTCCTCCTCCTCCTCCTCCTCCTCCTCCTCCTCCTCCTCCTCCTCCTCCTCGGGCCGGGACTTCCAGGGACCGCGTACTCAAAAACTCCGGACGTCGCACGTCTGGGATGGATCCGCGCGCTCTCGCAGGCCAAGATCGTGGCAACAAAAAGCCGCCGAGACGGCCCCAAGATGCCTCGAAGATGGTCAGAGATAGCCCCCGGTCGGCCCAAGGTGGCCTCAACACGGACCAAGAGGCCCCCCAAGTCAGCCCGAGGGGCCCCCCCGTGCTTAGGGCCCGAAGAACTCAAAATCATACACGGTACATTGGATCATTCACCTTTTGGGGCTCCCTTCAGCTCCAGACTGCCCCGGAGGCCCCAGAAGCCCAAGAGAGCACAAACCTTGCCAAACAATCCTCCACAGCGGCCTCAAGTCAGCCCAAGAGGGCCCATTACGGCCCCAGGGAGCCCCTCTACAGCCCAAGATGGCCCAAGGACGACCCCACGACGGCCGCACCAGCCACCCCAGACGGCCAGGAGGGCCCCCGAGACGGCCCAAGAGATCCCCAAGACAGCCCGAGAAAGCCCCAAGCGAGCCCAAAACGACCCAAGGGACACCAGAAGACTGCCCGTGAGGAGCCAAATAATGGACGGAAGAAATGGCGGAAGACGACGAAGACGAGAAGGGAAAGCCCGATACGATGCGGACGAATGTGTTACATGACACGGCCCCCCTGTAGCCTTAGGTCGGGCCTGTCCCCCTAGATGGGGGCTTTGGGCGAAAAATTGAAAATACCCCGAAACATACCCCCAACATAACACGACAATTGTCAACAAATCAACCCCTGAACGATTCTTGACTAGTTTGGAAGAGATTCCCCCTGTAGAGAGCCAGGCCCGACTGAAGACGAAGACGAGAAGGGAAACCCCGATGCGATGCGGACGAATGTCTTACGTGGCACGGCTCCCCTGTGGCCCAACGTCACGGCCTCCCGTGCCCCCTCTCGGCCAGTCGCCACCGAGAGATGCCGGGCTGGCAGGGTGGCGGCACTTGCCGCAGGCAGCTGGACAGCACGCCTGAAATGACAAGCTTCGCTGCCTCGATACGCCCGTTTTGATACGCAGCCCGTACCGTGCTCAAGACGTCCGCGTCAATACGTGTCGTGTTGGCCCAACGTAGTTGGCCCACGTTGTGGCGAACCGATCGCGTGAGGCCTACAATCGTCAGCCTACGGGGTGTTGAGCTCCGTGCCACAAAGCTACGTCTTGCGTGTTGCGTATCGGGGCAGCCAGGATTGCAAGAGGAAACCAGCGGAGTCTTGCGCACTGCCACAACGAAGGCACACTGTAAAATGTCAGTGTGAGCGTTGGAAAAGTGTCGCGCACGAGGCGCGCGATTCGCATGATCCAGCCCTTGGCGTCCCATGAGC